TCGTCGTCGTCTTCACCATCGTCGCCGTTTTTGTCGTCGTCGTCGTAGTCGTCGTGGTCGTCGTCGTGGTCGTCGTCGTCGTGGTCGTCGTGGTAGTCGTCGTGGTATTCGTCGTCGTCGTCGTCGTCGTCGTGGTCGTCGTCGTGGTCGTCGTCGTCGTGGTCGTCGTGGTAGTCGTCGTGGTATTCGTCGTCGTCGTCGTCGTCGTCGTGGTAGTCGTCGTCTTCGTCGTAGTCGTCGTCGTCGTCGTGGTAGTCGTCGTCGTCGTCGTCGTCGTCGTCGTCGTCGTCGTAATCGTCGTGGTCGTCGTCGTGGTCGTCGTCGTCGTCGTGGTCGTGGTGGTAGTCGTCGTGGTAGTCGTCGTCGTCGTCGCCGTCGTCGTCGTCGTCGTCGTCTTCGTCGTGGTCGTCGTCGTCGTGGTCGTCGTCGGCGTGGTAATCGTCGTCGTCGTCGTGGTCGTGGTGGTGGTCGTCGTCTTCGTCGTGGTTGTCGTGATCGTGATCGTGATCGTGGTCGTGGTCGTGGTCGTCGTGGTGGTGGTGGTCGTCGTCGTCGTCGTGGTATTCGTCGTCGTGGTCGTCGTTATCGTCGTCGTCGTCGTCGTCGTGGTCGTCGTCGTGGTCGTCTTCGTCTCCGTCGTGGTCGTGATCGTGGTGGTCGTCGTCGTCGACCTTCTTGGAACATGTCCTTTGCTGCCCCCGAGGGGCCGAGCTGCACCCCCGGCGACGCGAGTCCCCCCCGAGCTGGACACCGAGGCCTCTGGCCCAACAAGGCCCCGTGCCGACACGGGCTTCCCCACACCGTGTGGAGGATCGGCGACGCGCCGAGGAGGGAATCGAGAGAGGGCAGACCTGCTCGAGTCGGCGGGAGGGAATCGAGAGAGGGCAGAACGTCTTAGAAGGCGGCGGGCTTCGGAGAAGGCTTCGGTCGGGCATGTCCTCCTACATGCGGAGTTTGGACGAAGAATGGAAAGTACAAACAAAAAGCCCCAAATAGTCAACAATAGTCCAACAAACCATGCCTGGGCAATTTCTGGACTATCTGTGAATCTTCCTCCCGTGGAGGGACACGCCCGACGCAAGAGAAGGCCCAGGGAGCTGCTCAGAAGGCCAGAGGACTCGGCAGAACCTTCTGCGGAGGCCCGCCCCACCGCTGCCTTCCCTTCGGGGGCGCGCCGCCGAGGGCCCCGGGAGGAGGGGGAGGACAAGAAGGCCTCCGCCTGCCTCCGGGCCCGCTCGGCCCGCAGCTGCCGCCGCGAGGAGGCACCGCGGTAGTGGCGCTGGATGCACACTGCCGCCTGCCGCGCCTGTCGAGGAGGAGGAGGAGGAGGAAGAGGAGGAGGAGGAGGAGGAGGAGGAGGATGAGGAGGAGGATTAGGAGGAAGACGTCGAGGATGAGGAGGATGAGGATGAGGTGGAGGTGGTGGAAGAGGAGCAGTGTACACACAGGACGCACCAACGATGTTGCAAGAAACCCTCCCTCCCCAAATTCACCCCACCCACGGGTCCCCAAACGAACTATATGTTCATCGCAGGAAATTCCCCATTGGAAGACAACCGTCTGAGAATCCTCAATCGTGCCAAAACGCAATTCTTGGGACTTCAGCGTCGCGAGTCAGCATTGCTGTTGCGTTCTGGCAATCCTACATCGTGTCACAACACTGTTCCTGGGACTTCAACGCCGCGAATCAACGTGACTATTGCGTCTTGAAAACCTAAGTCGGGGCTTCAAGTATACGAGTCCTTGAAGCTGATACAAGCTTTGAGCTGACCGTGCGTGGCGCCAAAGCGAGAGCCACGGCTTGAAAAGCAACCGCCCTCCCTCCTTGAAGCTGTTGTGAACTTTTTGAGGCGCATGTGCGCGGCCTTACAGCGAGAGCCACATCTTCAAAACCGCCCACCCTCCATCCGAGAAGCTGTTGCCAATTCTCAAGCCTCAAGACCATAAGCGGTGAGAAAAGCCTAGGGTAAAACGCCTGGCCCGCCCTGCCGACACGTCTGGGGGTACGGCAGGGAGGAGTAACTTGTGAGGAAGAGGGATGGAAGATTAGGAGGAGGAGGAGGAAGAGGAGGAGGGAGGAGGAGGAGGAGAAGGAGGAGGAGGAAGAGGAGAAGGACGAGGAGGAGGAGGAATAGGAGGAGGAGGAGGAGGAGGAGGAAGATGAGGAGAACATTAATGCTCTTGTGTCTTTTGTTTGGCTTTTGCTGTTTGGTTTCTGCACTTGGGGTTCTTGCTTGTCTCCCTGACGAATCGGTTGGGTCCGCCGAGGCTTGTCCGCGTTGCCGCCCGCTGCCGCCTCGTTGCCGCCTCGTGCGCTGGGTGGGCCGGGCGAGGTTTCGCCGCGCTGAGGTTTCGCCACGTTGCCGCCTCGTTGCTGCCTCGTGCACTGGGTATGTTGGGCAAAATTTCGCTACGTTGCCGCCCGGTGCCGCTCGCTGCCGCCTCGTGCACCGGGTGGGTGGGTCCTGCGAGGTTTCGCGTCGTTGCCGCCCGTTGCAGCCTCGTTGCCGCCTCGTGCGCTGGGTGGGTCTGGCAAGATTTCGTCAAGTTCCCGCCTGTGGCCGCCTCGTTGCTGCCTCGTTGCCGCCTCGTGCACCGGGTGGGTCGTGCGAGGTTTCGCCACGTTGCCGCCCGTTGCGGCCTCGTTGCCGCCTCGTGCGCTGGGTGGGTCTGGGGGGGTTTCGCCACGTTGCGATTTCGCGACGTTGCCGCCTCGTTGCTGGCTCGTGCGCTGGGCTGGTGCGGCGAGGTTTTGCGTCGTTGCCGCCCGCTGCAGCCTCGTGCGCTAAGTGGGTCCGGCGAGGTTTCACCACGTTGCCTGCTTGCTGCCTCCTTGTTGCCGCCTTGTGCGCTGGGTGGGTCCAGCGCTTGAACAAGAACGAGGGCCCGCTGCGCGCACCGGGGCGGCGCCGCTGCGGCGCGCTGCAGGAGGCCAAGCAAAAATGGCAGCGGCTCCCCCCCGGGAGGTGGCGAGGAGAGGTAGCGCGACCTCGCCGCCCCGGGAGGGCCCCCATCTCCTGGATCGCCCCGCCTTGGCGGTACGCAAAAGGGGGTGGAGGGAGGGGGGAAGGCTTCTTGGAAGGAGGCTGCTTCTTAGAAGGCGCCGGCCTTACATCTATGGATAAGGCCCGCGCCTTCTAAGAAGCAGGGGTGCTTCTAAGAAGCCTTCCCCCCTCCCCCCACCCCCCCTCTGCGCGTGGCTGACCGCCCCCGCCCCGACTCCGCGCCGGGAGGAGCCAGTGCAATGCAAACAGCAGAGGCCCGCCGGCTCGGGGCCGCGGGCTGCCGGGCGGCGCGCGCTCGCGCAGCCCGCACCCGCGCGGGCCGAGGCGCGCGCTGCTCCGCCGTCCAAGCGCACCGAGCAGCCAGCGAGAAGCACGGCAACCAAACATAGAGCCGCTCAGGCCACACTCAACGCACAGCCTTTTTTGGGGGCGAGAGCGAACCTCTTCCGCTAAAAGCTAGGCGGGCTACGCACAGCTTTATTTGGGGGGACACACGCTCAACGCACAGCCGTGGGTGGAAACGCTGGTCCCGGCAGAAGAGCCGAGCGATCACGATGGGGGCGAAGGTGCTCGCCCGCCGGGCCTGGGCCACCCGCCGATCTCCAGGCCGCGGCGGGTGCAGCGTGCGGGCGGCCTGCAACGCTCGGGCGATCAGTCCGCGGGCGAAGAAGGGCCATAGGCCTACGGACCGGCAGCGCAGAGAGGCAGCAACATGCGAGCGGCGGCGAGTGGAGGGTCGTCCCCGCGCAGCACGCAAAGTGTGGTGGGCGCGGAGATGCCCGGATCTTCGACTGACCGGGCGCGGGTGTGAGGCAGCCACCGCCATCATCACCCCAGGGGGCATGAGGCAGCCTGGCACGGCCCCGCGGGGGCGGCGGCGCTGCGGATGAGCGGCCAATCGACTCACACTCGCTGCGGCCGCCTCAGCGACGTCGGCGCTTCCCGCTGGGAGCCCGCCCGACTGGAGTCCCCGCATGCGTTTCCCACCGCGAAGAGGGAGGGGCTTGCCCTTCGTGCTTTTCAGCTTCGCCCAGCGCTCGCGGGGCATGGGCGATCTCGAATTGCGAGGTGCTGCCTCCGCCATCGCTTCTACCTCGTCTTCGCGCGCACCCCGAGGCCTGGGCGCCTCTCGCGCCCTTCCTGCCATCCTCGGTCTGGTCGTCCTCCGCCGCCTCCGACGGGCTCCGCGCCAGGTCGGTGGCCTCTCCAGGGCTCGCGTCCCTCTCCGCCGTGGCCTCCTCCTCCTCCTCCTCCTCCTCCTCCTCCTCCTCCTCTGCCTCCTCAGGGTAGGCCGGTTCCGCCGCGGCTGCTTCCTCCTCCTCCTCTTCTCCTCCTCTTCTCCTCATCTTCTCCTCCTCTTCTCCTCCTCCTCCTCCTCCTCCACCTCCTCCTCCTCGCTCGCCAACGGCGGGTCGTTGTCCGCCAGCTCCCCGCTCAGGCGCAGTTGGTAGCGCCTCTTGCAGATGGCGTGCTGGCGCCCCGAGCAGTGCCGCCGCGTGTGCCCGGCGGCGCGCACCGACCCAGCGCACAGGGCCTCCCCCATGCAGTTCAACCCGCGGTCGGCGTGCTCGCCGTAAGTCGGCAGTGCTTCAGTGCAGGATGCGCGAGCACCTCGGGCACTCCTTGGCCTTCGCCTCCTCGCTCTTCCCACTGCGGCGCTCGGGCCCGCTGCCCGCCCGCCCTGGCCTGATGGGCGTCGGTAGCTGAACCTCAGCGGCTCGCCCCCTTTTCTCCGCGCAGCAACGCCCGCCCAACGCCTCCATCGCCGCCTCCGCCTGGCTCGCCGCCTGGGGCGTGCGCAGCGCCTGCCAGATGGGCTGCCCCGCCAGCGTGCTCCACCTCGCCGTGATGGGCCGTGGGCAATTCCAGCTCCGCCAGCTCGACGCCGGGGGTCAACCCGCGCTGGCGCGCGACTCCTGGGCCCAGTCGACCTCTCGGTTGCCCCGCGGGCGGCCCGCTCCGGAGCTTGGGCTGGCAGCCTGCCACAGCCACCTCCCTCGCTTTCCACGGCAGTGCGTTGGCTCGGGGTTGGTCCCGCGACTGGGCGTCGCGTCGACCCCGTCTCGGGGCGGCGCCGGAATCGCGGCCCCCGCAGGGGGGCCGCCCATCCTTGGCGGGGTCGCCAGTCTGCGCTGCTCCACCTTCGCCGTCACAGGAGCCCCATTCGGGTGTCGACCGCAGAAGGGTCTCGCACCCCTCCCCTCGCCTCGTCAGCGCGACCATGCTCCCAAGGTCGCGCGGTTTAAGCCGCGTGACCCTGGGGGGCGAGACCCCCGAGTGGGGGTCTCGCCTTCCGGCGTCCCAGGCGCTTCTGGATGCGGATCGGCGCGGGGGGCCCACTCCGGGGGCACCTCGGTGTCGCCAGGGCCCGGGTGACCCCCTGCAGCGCGTCTCCCCTTCGCGTCGTCCTGGCGCGAAAAAGCGCGGGGGGGGCCCCTTCTTAGGCGCCCCCCTCCTTCGCGTCAACACAAGGCGAGATTCGCCGGCCCAACGGGCCAGAGGCGTGCTAAGATCTCCGGTCACTGGTTAACAATATTATACTTCGCGCGCGCAGGGCGGCCCCTGGGGGTCTCCGGGCGAAAAATACCCCGGCAGGTCCGGGTCAAAGATGCCAGACCGGGCAATTTTTCGACACCCCTCACGAGGATCGTGGCCTCCGAGGGGGGAGCCGCAATCGACTACCCCTCCCGCCCCAAGAGGCCCCCAAGAGCCCCCCAAGAGGCCCTGGGGCCCCCCAAGACGCCGCCAAGGAGCCCCAAGAGACTCCCAAGAGGTCCCCAAGAGGCCCCCAAGAGGCCTTAAAGAGGGCGCCAGGGCCGGCGGAATCAGCGAAGCGATTGAATAAAAATGGGGGGCCCTCGGCCGTCGCTCTCAGGTGCGGTCCGCCAGAGCTGCCCCAACCCCGTGACTGGTGCCCTTCGCCCCCAGGCACTTCGGCTGGGCCCCCCGCAGGTCCGGCGCACGCGCCGCGGGGTCTCGCCGAGGGCAACCAGGTTGGGGTAAATGCGCGAGGCGCACCCGAGTGCGCGGGCCTGCGCCGGGCCCGGCGGTGCCGCGCCAGCGCCCAGGAAGTGGTTCATCATGCCCCCTGGCGCTCTTCCAGCTTGAATGCGGCAAGCGTGGAGGCGCCGCGAGAACCTGGGTGGGGTCTGGGTAAAACCGCTCCGCCTGGCCTGCTGCCTTTGGTCTCCCAGCAGGGGCAAGGCGCCGGGTGGCCCCCCCGCCGTTGTTCGCGAGCTGGCGTGCCAAGCGTTTCTCCCGTTTAAATCGCCAGCCAATTCGTGCGCGTCGCTCGTGGATG